ACAAGACCCCAGTAACGAGTTAGTTAGGGGGGGGTAAGACTTATGATGCTCACTGTATGAACAGAATACCTGAAAGAAATTTATTTATTTTTACGCCCGTAACTGAAAATAAAGTTCAAAAATTATTATATAATATTAAATCCAATGCCCAAGGTTCTGATGGGCTAAATATAAAAATGCTACTGCAGTGTTCTCCCTTTATTATTCCTTATGTAACACATTTAATAAATAACTGTCTTGAATTAAATACCTTTCCTAATGTTTGGAAAGAAGCTTTAATCAGGCCCATTCCAAAAGTAAATAAACCCCTTGAATTGAAATATCTAAGGTCAATAAGCATACTTACCACTTTATCTAAAGTTTAGAACGTGTTGTAGATGAACAACTAAGATATTACATAAACATAAATAACTTATAGTACGAGATCCCGCTGCAAAATCACTACGTTCATTAAGTTTTGAGTGAAACACAAATTTTTACATGATTTTATGAATAGGAGAATACACTGATAACACCGCAGCCAGTCAGAAGTGGCCGCAAGTAATTTTAATTAAATTAATGTTAATTAATATTCCAAAAACAAAAAAAAATTCGTTTACTTCTCTTTAAAATAAAATATCATCCACATCATAACAATGCATGTAAAGAATTCTAAAATCCTTAAGTGCCGTTCCATACTCGGCCGCAACTACCTCGCAGCCAGGTGTAAGCAGGTAATATTTTGATCTATCTATATGTTTGTGACTTACACGGATGTTTTTTATATCAAATTAAAGCTATTTTTTTTCTAACATGATGATATATTGCTGCCTATGAAAAAATAGCCGCAAATTAGGATTGCCATCAGTTAAAAACGCGAGATATCTGAGATCAAATGAGAGAGAGTTAGTGCGCAACGCCACTTGTTAGATGAGGATAGTGAATGCCAACTGTGTGAGTATTTGAAGCTATTGCTATTGTCGACGCATGCACAATTTTTCCATTACGGTCCATTTTAGAAAAATCATGTATAAACAAAAATTATAGAAATCAATATCGCAAACAACTTTTAGTTCAACAATTTTCTTAAAAATCAGAATTTTGCACATTTTGTCAAATTTCTCGAATACGGACCATTTCAGGAAAATTTGATATAATACAAAAATTATAGATAATAATATTAGAAGTAACTTTTATTTGAACAATTTTCTTCTCCAAACATAAATAACATATATTCCATAAAATATGAAAACGGCCTCCCAAATGTTCCGACTTTGTCCAAAATCTATTCATTTCACATCAGGCCGAAATAAATCTTAAGTTTAAAATTTAATGTTTTTTTCTTTGTCCGTTTCTCAAATATCTCGAATACAGAAATTATGTATAGAATAAAAATTATAGAGAATTATATTACAAACAACTTTTATTTAAACAATTTTTATAAAAAATATTTTTTTTTACATGTTGTCAAATTTCTCGAATAGGGACCATTTTAAGAAAATTTTGTATAAAACAAAAATTATAGATAATTATATTAGAAGTAACTTTTATTTGAAGAATTTTCTTCTCCAAACGTAAATAACATATATTCCATAAAATATAAAAATGACCACCTATAAAGTACCCCCCCAGATGTTCCGACTCTGTTCAAAATCTAATCTGTTCATTAGACGCTGGAATAAAGCTTAAGTTTAAAATTTGGTGTTTTTCTATGTATCGGTTCATGAGTTATGCGACACACATACACACACACACACACACACACACACACACACACACACACACACACACACACACACACACGCACGCACGCACGCACCCACACACACACACACACGCACCCACACACGCACGCACGCACGCACGCACGCACCCACACACACACACACACACACACACACACACACACACACACACACACACACACACACACACACACACACACACACACACACACACACACACACACACACACACACACACACACACACACACACACACACACACACACACACACACACACACACACACACACACACACACACACACACACACACACACACACACACACACACACACACACACACACACACACACACACACACACACACACACACACACACACACACACACACACACACACACACACACACACACACACACACACACACACACACACACACACACACACACACACACACACACACACACACACACACACACACACACACACACACACACACACACACACACACACACACACACACACACACACACACACACACACACACACACACACACACACACACACACACACACACACACACACACACACACACACACACACACACACACACACACACACACACACACACACACACAGAGAGAGAGACATCATCGCGAAAATAGTCAAAACGGATTCAGGGGACCTCAAAACGTAAAAATCCGTCGAAAACTCGAGGTCGAAAAAAATCATGATTCCTATACTTTCCTTATATCTGTATACAGATAGGAAAGTAAAAATAGACAATTTGCCTGATAAAGGTCCTGGTCCAGATGAGATTCCTACACGCTTTATTAAAAAGTGTAAAAATTCTGTCAATGACCTTTCATATTTCTTATTTAATAAATCTTTAATCGAAGGACAGTTTCCTGATAAATGGAAAACGCCTTTCGTTGTGCCAATTTACAAATCAGGAAATAAAAATAAGGTGAATAATTTTAGACCTATATCAAAACTGTAAACTATTTGAAAGTTTAATTTTCGATTTTCTATTTTGTGATTTCAAGAATATTGTTAACATTGAACAACATGGTTTTATTTGTTTATGTTGAATATATATTGAAAAGGTTAAATGACGGAATGTTGGTAGATTCTGTGTATACTGACTTCAGTAAGGCTTTTGATAAAATTGAAAATTGACCATTCTATCCTAATATCGAGGCTTGCTGAGGTCGGCGTACACGGAAATCTCCTAAGATGGTTTGACTCTTTTGTAAGAAATAGGTCTCAACAGGTAGCATTGGATAAATACAAATCTATGTTTGTCATTCCTACATCAAAAGTACCACAAGGATCTCATCTTGGGCCGTTACTCTTTAACCTTTATGTCAATAATATATGTAACTGCTTTATATTCGCGAAATTTATCATGTACGTAGACGATTTAAAAATGTATCATTCTATAACTTGCTTACTTGATAGGATTTTGTTTCAGCAAGATCTAGATACATTTTGCGATTATTGTAGAAAACATAATTTGCTTTTGAATGCATCTAAGTGTAGTTATAAACAGTTTACTCAAAGTAACACTTATTTACATAACAGTTGCATCATTAATGAATCTACACTTCAACCAGTGGATAAAGTAAAGGACTTGGGTATATTTCTCGACTCCAAATTATTGTTTAATGAGCATATATATTACCTATATTACTAGTAAAGCAAATAAAGCATTAGGCTTTATTTTAAGAACAAGTTACGAATTTAAAAATCCTCATACAATTAGAGCTTTGTATATGGCTTACGTTAATAGTGTACTCATATTTGGATCAATAATTTGGAATTCTTTTTACTTAGTATATACAGGGTGGCTCACGCTCAACGGGACGGAGATTTATGGGAAAACGACCAAAGATATAAAAAATTCGTTTGGGAGGAATTCGTAGGTTACAGACGGCTACAATTTAAAATTTGTTAGATGTATACAGGATGTCCCACATAAGAGAAAATATACAAAGTTATATTATTTTTAATGGAACACCCTGTTTTTTATTTTAGAATTAAAAACTACATCAAAAATAATGTCAGTTAACTAAAGGTTCCCTATTACTATTATTATTAGTTTTCGATTTATTTGAATTTTTAAGGAAAAAAAGTCTCCCAGAAATTAATTGTTTACTCTTGTTTGAATAATTTTTAATGAACTAATTTTTTTTTCTTATGTGGGACATCCTGTATACATCTAACAAATTTTAAATTGTAGCCGTCTGTAACCTACGTATTCCTCCCAAACGAATTTTTTATATCTTTGGTCGTTTTCCCATAAAGCTCCGTCCCGTTGAGCGTGAGCCACCCTGTATAGATAAGTTACAATCTGTTCAGAATAAATTTATTTCTTATTGCTACAAAAAATATTATCCTCAAATAAGAGGGAACAAAATTTTATCGAATTTAAATTTAATCAATCTAGAATTACGAAGACAAATTTTTAATATAATCTTCATGCACAAAATACTTAATCGGCAAATAGACTGCATTGATATAATTAATCTCCCTCAATTTAATTGTCCCAATTATAATACTAGAAATATTAATATATTTTTTTTTTTTGACAAGGCAGCAACCAACTACTATTTAAATGCTCCTCTCCGTAGAATATCAAAAACTTGTAATCAGTTGTCAAATATATTATTGTATAATCTGGTGAACACTTTTTTAGGCTAGTCCTGTCTGTGTCCTGAATAAAAAATAATTACAAATATATTGACCGGTAAGTTTATTTTTTTAGCCATTAACGTGTTTTTATTTTGATACATTCGTTCCTCTAGAGAGGTAAGAATTACGGCAGATCCCGTACGTTTGTTTTTTTGTTTGTTTTGACCAACCACGATCAGGTTTTCCAGATTCTTTCGCTAGAGCTGTTTTAGAATCTTCTTTTAAGTTTATAGCCACTTTATGTTAAAATTCAACGTCTTCATAAATATAGGGAATATTCCACAAGATGTTTTGCGGTGATATAAAAGATACGTATAATTATATACAGTGCGTTGAACTCTACTGGATCCAGTTTTGTATCTTAGTTGATATTGAATAATATAGTTAAGTTCAGTGGTCATAAAACCAGGTGTGACAACAAGAATATCTATGTGTAAATCAAAAGTTAAATTTAAAAATCTGATTTTTGGCCAAATTAAAGATAAAGGTCTAAGTAATGTTGTTTTACTATTAAAAATTGATAAATTTACTATTTTAAATTCCTTTGAATTAATAATATGGTTAAAAAATAAAAATTACTTACCACTTTTGTTATCCATAAGGTCATGATATCCATCGACGATATACTTAACAACTAGAGCCATTTTTGTACCTGAAACAAGACCAAAAATGTTAAATAAGAACAACCTTCGACGTATTAATTAAATACCAGATTATCAACATTTAACACATTTTTTATGTGTGCGTTGATCAAATAATTAAGTACATATACATGGTATTTAAGAATGTTAAAATGGAAATCTTCCTCTTAGTGAACATATAAGTGTAATATACAGGATGGTCAGACGAAAACACGTAGAATTAACACGGAAAAATAATAGTATATTATGCAACGATCATGTAATGATAGCTATTAAGACACGAGTTTGTGGTAAGTTACGACACGAGCCGCAGGCGAGTGTCGTAAATCTTAAGCGAGTGTATTAATAGCCATTACATAAGAGTTGCATACACTATTTTTTCTACGACTAAGAAACTAGCATTGCTTTATTTATTTTATTTTTTAATACTTTTTTATATAAACAATAATAAATAAAATATGAAAGAAAAATAAGTTTTTCGACTTAAATTTTATTCCTACAAAATAACTACTAACAATAAACATAAACGAATTCATATTAACATTAAACAAGATACATTACATTTTAATCAATTTTGTTTAAATACAAATTTTGAATAGTACAATTATTAAAAAGTACTTGAGGTGTACCATCTTTAGTCACAAACGAATATGTACTCATAGATGAAGAGGGCAAATTAATATGAATTTCATTATTTGTATTATCAATTGAATGGAGAATTTGATTAGAAATATTAATTTTACTCTGTATTGAATTGTCTATATAATTCTCGGCAACCGCAGTTGACTTCCAACCGCCGCACACTGGGAAAACAAGCCATCAAAGTTGGCAATAAATCACAGACTCTTTATGAATTTGTAAGTTAAATATTGCTTTGTAGAGGTGTTAGTATTACAAATGAAAATACATAGAGGGCCCTTAAAGTGTTTGTTTGCTAAAAAAAAAAGAAAGTTATTAATAATATAATATATTAAAATTGTATATTCTATTGAGCCCTTCATGTATTTTCTTTTGTAATATAATATAATAAAAATGTCATGGACCTAATGAGGCCTAAGTGCCGCGGGGGTAATCCACCCTCCACAAGTTAAAGATACAGATAATAAAAATGTAATATTATAATAATTTCATTTAGAAAAGCTGTGATAATAGTAATCAAATTTCATCCTCTTTAGAATGTGATAAGACATTTTCTTCATCGTCGCCACGGTCATCATCAGTGTCATGAATATACCATGGCATGAAGCTAGACGAGTCCAGATTTAAACAAATCTACTGCTTCTTTAGGAAAGTCCTGCAGGTTCTTTCTTTTCTAATTTTCGTTTGCTCGTGATTACAAGGTCGAAACTAAGTAAAAACGAATTAAAGACATCCTCATTAGTTTTCTCTGTTAATTGGTCTATAGGCAACAAAGCAGAAGATATTATTTCAGGCCCATGTATAAAGTATTTGTGCAAAATAAACTAGCTCTAAATCGACTCATATTTCAATTAGGTTCGCCATCCTGGAATTTAAAATTTCCGCCATTTTAATTTAATGGTCTGAAAGTATATTTACATACCTACCAAATCAGACCCATTGAGTTCAAATCGGTCAAAAACTAAAATAGCAGCGTTGCAAAGCATAATGTGTTATTATAAGCTTCTATGAAAACATAAAACCAGATAATTTTGATTGTCTATATCTTACGATTGAATGGACCAATCGTGCTCGGAGAGATCTTAAAATAAATAAAATAGGTTAGATATTTAACTTTTGTTGTTAGATTTTATATTTAATTCATAATTATTACGCAAAACGAGTTTTAAATGGGTTACTGTTAGGCTCGTTTTTTTTCTTCAAATAAGTCATCTTAAATTTTACATTTCTAGCATTTTGTTATGTCTGTCTGGAAGCATATTTAGTTGCCTATAAAATGAGCCTAAGGACAATAAAATCAATTTATTAATAAACGAAATATATTAAAAAAGACAGAATTCGTTTTTGATGATCGTCCCGCCATATATTTATATACTTTGAAAAAACCCAAATAGTGAAGAAAAGTGCAAATAAGTGCACAGAAACTAAACGATTTCGAAAAGTACAAACAATATTCATTATAAAAAGTCGAAATTTAAAGCTTGGACTGCTTTGGAACACAACAAATAGCCTTCATGTATTTAAGAATATTTTAAAATTTTAACGTTTAACCTTCATTTTATTTAACCCCAATATTATAAGATTACGTTTATTTTTCTACAACTTTTTACTTTTTAAAATAATAATACATAGCTGAACTTAAAGGCTCGATGGCGGAAATTTGAAAAAAAAAAAATCAAAATACAGCCTAAACACAGCACAAAAACAAGTTAAAAACTACGAAATAACAATGAATATATACTCGTCTCAGATAAGTAACTTCGACTGAGGATGGTGATGAAACGCGTGAGGCAGAAGATCGCACTTGTTCCTTTTATTATGTAGTGGACAGTAATATATATCAGAAAAAAATATGAGGTAGAGTGTATATGGTATTTAATTTTTTTATTTATTGCCAAATTTGAGGGCTTCTTGTCCCAGTGTGCGCCGTGTCGTTTTAAAGTCGTGATGTCGCCCCCTGCATCGACTAACAAAGTGGCAGAGCTTCTACGGAAGCAGTACCCTGTATATAAATTTGGGTTTTGAAGATTTAGGTATGTAGCTATTTCTTTACCCAAATTTCTGAATTTATTTATACCGATATTTTGTTGTACACATTTTCCGTTTCGGTAGCAAATAAAAAAATATTGTGTGGTACAATCTTTCGGCCTTAAATTTATATATTTTTACAAATATTATAGTATTTTCCTGATACTGCAAACGTTCTTGGTATTTTGGTTTTCGTGTCAAGAATATTTATTATGAAATTGTCCTTAAAATCTTTGACGTTTTGAAATTTTAAATCATGCAGTTCATATCTTCTGCATCCTCCCATAATTCCAAAAATTAAAGCTACCTGCAAAAAAAAACGATTTTAATCAAAAAATAAATGAAAGACAATATTCATCATTTTTGTGCTTGTTTAGTTTTAATTAAATAAATTAAAAAAAAAATTAAAAATTAAAAAAAAATGCACTGAGCGGGTCTCGAACCCGGCATGTAGAGTACGATTCAACTAAGAAAAAGCCACACACATCATACCTGACAGAGGCCGCAATAATTTGCCTCTTTCTCAGGTCCATCCCATTTAAAAGTCAGTGGCGTTTTGGCGATTTTTTTCGTTTTTCTAATATAGAGATACAATTGCTTAATAATTTGGCAACGCTGTACGACTGCCGCATGGTCCAGAATATAATTCGAACAGAAGCTATCGCGTAAACATGGATCCCTTATTACTGTGAGCCAAACTTCGGCGTTGCCAAGCTTTTTTTTTACTTACGAACAAAAATAAGGGTTCATCGGAAGAAAGTGAAGACAGCGAGAGTACTATACTCTGTTTTTAAACTAGGAGGAGCGAAATGAAAAGACGCATTTACACAGGGAAAAGTAACTAGATTTGTTACTAAGAGCGAGTTTCGAAATATAGTCGTGTTCAAAATTTATGAAATAATTATCTTTATCGGCCTTAGTCGGTGAACGGCCAATGAGCGGTTAAGAAACGAATAAATGTCATAGAAGTAATTTTTTAATTGGTCCCAGACAACGGTCGCAAATTTCACATTATTGTGATCTAAAATGTGTGTCTAAAACGAAATGTCACTGTCAAATTAAAGTCAATATGGTTGTTGATTGATGTCAGAAATACTTTTTTCTTGCTTTTGAAATCGACTTTTTGAGAATAACTATGATCTTTTTAAAATGGATATTAAATATTTAAGAAAATTGTTAATGGAATATCCAGATGTAGCCAGGTTAGTATAAAATATAAAGATCTGTTTACATTTTTAAGGATAATTTGTTATAGGTATAAAAAGTAAAAGTTAATCAGTGAATGACAAGTGGATCACATAGTAACTGGTATCTCTTCTATGAGTAATGTAGATATTATGGCTTATTTAGTGTTAATCCATGGTTAATGCGCTAGAGGGCAAATAAAGGCATTCAAAAGTTTACAGGCCTATGAGTCAGAATTTGTTTTGAAAACTGGAACCAACATTTTCATAACACTACATGTCAACATATATTTTTTAAAGTGAACTATTCATACATACCTATGTATTAATTTTAAGTATTTTTAAAATATTTTTTGTGAAAGTAATGTTAACTCATTGTGCCAAATTAAGATTGTCCCTAAAGTAGTAGATGGTGTTTTAAATGTTATAATAATTTTGTAAATAGTTTTATTCTATTCTAATAAATAAAATTTGCTTGAATATTTAGTTACATTTTAATCATTTTGGTTAGAAATTCATCAATTTTAAAAAATCAGTAATAAAATTATTTTTTTCTAAAATACTTCGGAATTCATCTCTTCATGGTAATCTCCCATCTTTTTACCTTCAAAACCCAATAATGCATTTTCTACAAAACCTTCAGAATCAGCATGTAAAATAATAAGGTGTCTTCCCTTTCTTGTAAGGCTTTTCAGGAATTGCTACTTTTAATAGTACTCAGTGTAGAAGGATCCATAATTGTAGATTTTCAATACAATTGCTTACTGAAGAACTATTATTTACGAAATAAAGTAAAAAACTAAGTAATGGATGAGATATCAAATTATAAAATGTCAGAACTATCAACAATATCAATTATTAGCTTATGTTCATGCTAAAAAGTAATGTGTGAAACTGACTGTAATCTGACCAATCAGAAGGCTACAGAATTGCCAACTTAAATTCAAATCGCTCCTCAGTTTAAAAACAGAGTATAATAGTTCATTAACGGACGAACTAGGATGTACTCCTCTAGTTTCACTTTTTGCACTAGTTGCATAAATAAGTATTATTTTAATTGTAATAAAAATCTTAAATTACAAAATTGTGTTGCTATTTTTATTTACTTCCCACTGAATGTTTTGTAAGTCTAAAGTCGAAGAATATATGTAATGTTATTT